GTAATAACATAAGAGAATAATAAGAATGATAATAAATTATAAAAAAAATAAAAAAAAATATCAAATGGCTGGACTTTCCACAGTGGCCTGAATGAATGAAAACATTAACAGACAGAACAGTACACATATTACATTAACATAAAAGTCACAGTAAAGTGCTGCATTGCACCCTCAAATTATATATAAAAGAAAATGTAAAATAAAATAAGACTTATATTCTATGCAGTTTTACTATCTGCGGCTATATTTTTTGTTGGGCTAAAAAAAATTCTTATTGAAACATCTGCAAAGTAAGGCTTTTTTAAGCTCTTTTTAAGATCTTTTTTAAGACCTTCTCAAGCAACAAGACAACATCTCTAGCAAAATGACTTGAGATGTTGTCAAATATTTAATATTCTAGAAATCATATAAAAGTGACATCGAATATAAGAGGGAAAAAATCTAGAGCTAGAAAATCATGTCTACCAGGATGGAACAACGATAACAGGCACTTATTGTGAATTCACTGCTGGAGAGAGATACCAAACCACTACTACATGACAATGACTGATGAAGCAGGAAAAAATATCAAGCTCTTTTGATGACGGTGCGTTAAATTGAAAAAAAGTAATTAGGTGGTGGAACTAATAAGACATGGAATTATAGGTAAATCTGGCTTAACACTGAAATAACATCCATCTTATGGAAGTAAAGCTACCTGGCCAATGTTGTAGGCAGAAGCGTTTCATTGACGACGCAAATCTTTTACACAGCATCTGATCAAAACAACTGCGCAAATATAAAAAACGCACATCTCAAATAATTTTAAAGTCGTGACATCTGTTACAAGTTGATCATTTCTATCTAAGTGTCAATGAAAAGCATTGTTTAGCTTTAATCATTTTTATATGTCATACATACAAGTAAAGGCTGGCAGACATAATGTATTTTCCTAGTCAATTCAGCTTAACTGAACAAGACTAAAGACTAATTTCCTTATGGGGAACATTATATATATATAATTACTCTGAATCTAAAATAAGTACAAAGGAAGACTTAAATCTTTTTCACAGAAATACTGCCCTAGATAAGAGTTTTTCCAGCTCTCATTAAAATATATGAGAACAAATTAGACATTTAAGCAGAACAAGGGGCTTTATGTTTCTGCAGTGTAGATGGTTTTTAACTTAAAGGATCAATTAAAACAGTCATGAAAAGATGTTTCAAATAGTGTTAATTACAGAGGCCGTGTAATTGATGATTTAAGATAAACTTTTGTTTTACCTAATCCTTTCCTTAAAAGGTTTACCCAAAAATTCAAACTTGTCATCATTTACTCGCCATCATGTTCATAAGAGAAGTTGCAATATGAAAAATATCTTTCTTTTGAGTCTTTTAATGAATTATTGATCCAATTCACTAAAATATTCTGAATGATTTCTTTACAAATCAGACAGATCCAGTTCTCAAGGTCAATTCACTAACACAATGATCCACACTGGTCGATACGGCTCACTAGCCTAGAAGATTTTCAGTGAATAACAACTTTGAAATTTCAGTCTGTTCGTCACACAAAGCTATTGTGTGGTTTCAGAAGACCTTGAATATAGTGAATGTTTTAATATGGACATCTTTGATATTTGATGATATGATATTATTACGTAATACTTTCATGTTTAATGGGTTATTTCCTTTTCTTTCTAGTGATAAAGTATGTTCACAAGCTGTTTAATTCATAACATTTTATACAAAATAAAAAAATATATTAATTTAAATGAAATCCATAAAATGATCCCAAGTTGGGTACCCATAAAAGGTTAAATCTAATAAAAAACCCCTTTAAGGTACTTTATAGAACCCATACGGAAGAAAATACATGAGGGTGAGTAATTACACAATTTTTTATTTTTGAATTGACTATCACTTTACCATTTGCTGAAATATTCCACTAGAGAATATCCTGACTAGCACTGAATGTAAAGTTAGAAGAGCGAGCAAACAGTTCCTGCTGTAAGACTCAATAAATCTCTGAGCTTTCAAATAAGATGCATTGCCTGAACATATGTTTTATTTTTATTTTATTTTATCATTTAGATATTCAGCATATCATATGATTTCCCAATTCACTCGCATGAAATATCTGCAAAAATTTATGTATTCAGGCTAAACCGCAAAAACAAAGCTGGGTGTTCTTCTTCTGAAAGAATAAGGTCACAAGCCCCAAACCACTGGCATCACAAGAGTCATGATGTCTGTTCAGTGAAGAACGATTTTTTACAGTGAGAGTGTGACTGTGCGATATAAGAGTGACAGTGTAGTGACTGCTGCCACATGCCACATCGTTATCTTACAAAACACAGAGGACAAGTTAAACATGCTGTTTCAGCATGAGACATTCAGACTGCACGTGGACAGATGAGCCATGGGTTTTGCGCAAATTAAGGCTACGGAGGCAGAGAAAATCGACTGGTACAAACTGTAGACACAGTCGATATTGAATTTAAAACAGCTTTTGGAAAGTTCACAGTCTCCGACAACACAGTGACTATTGTCATGTTAAATGTCCAACAACCATACGCTTTATCACTATGGACAACTCGTGATAAACAGACTGTCTGCTTGGTATGGGCCAAATGCCAACTTCCTCTTCTCCGTTAAACATCACATTACGAAATAAAGATTACAAATATAGATGGGGATGGCAATGGCATAATGATGTGCATGTGTCAGTAGGGTGTCATGTGTGTCTGTTTGTAAGGTGTAGGTGAATGTATATGACTGCATTTCAAAGCGTATACATTACAAAAGCTATGGGGATGAGAAATTGCTTTTCTCCTTCATTTCAGGGCAGTAGCATTAATCTTCATTTCTCTGAGCTCATGTCTTCCGACAATTCTTCCTTTTAAATTCAATTTTACCTAAGCTTTTCACAAGACTTGAGACAAAGGCAAAAATGGCAAGAAAGAATGAATTAAGATGGTTAGGTAGAATGAGGAAGAGACCTTGGCAGAAATCAAGACTCAGATGGGGGAGTCATCGTCATCTGGCAAGCAAATCCTGAAACATCCTGTCAACCTTCTCCTTCGCTTCCTCTTTGTGCATGTGCTTTATCTTCATACACTCTATATTGTGTTTCTAAAAGCATTGCATAAATATGATGAATAAAGCACATTCATTCTAATGATCATATGCATGGAAAATACATCCATAGTGCTCTCTAAATCAAGGGTGTGAAGACAGAAAAAGCATCAAAGAAACAAGGTTGCTTGCAAATCTTCAGATCACTGTATAGATGTCTGAATTTTGACATTTTTAATGAGTATCTGATTCTGCAGCACGTTACACCTCCTTTAAAATGAGCAACATTCCTGGACTGCATGTCGCCTCGATCTTATGAGCAGTTAAGAGGCTAATGTCAAGAAATGCCAAAGTGCCCCAAATATATTGAACCCACTGAGACGGACCTAAATTAAAAAGGCAGCTAGTGTGTGTGAAATAGTATACATGATATTATAATTAAATCATTAAAGGGTTAGTTCACCCAAAAAGAAAAATTATGTCATAATTTACTCACCCTCATGGTGTTCCAAACCTGTATGAGTTTATTTCTCCTGTCGAACTAAAAAGCAGATACTTTGAACAATGTTGGTAACCAGAAAGTTGAGGGTAGCCATTGATGTCCATAGTAGGAAAAAGAAGTACTGTGGAAGTCAACGGCTACAGTCAACTGTCTGGTTACCAACATTCTTCAAAATATCTTCTGTTGTGTTCAACAGAGAGAAAAAAAACTCATACAGGTTTGGAACACCGTGAGGGTGAGTAAATGATGACAGTATTTTCATTTTGGGGTGAACTAACCCTTTAATAATTAAATAAAGCATTAATAATTGGCTTGCATTGCACTAAATCCCCCAAACAAATGTTTTTTTTTATTATTATTATTCATAAAAATATCATTTGAAGAATATTAGCTTTTTTTCAATCTAATATCAGAATATGAGAAACCTTTTCAATATTGTACAAATTTATAATTTTTAATGTTTCATAATAAATAGTTTCAAAGCAGCATAAAGTCATACAAAAGTAATAAAAAAGTCATCTGCAAGACCGCTGAAACATTAGCAGGCAAAACAGTCTATATTGGCAAAATAAAATATGTTCATACATTTGATACAGTTCTGAATAATTTTTGGTGGATTACATTTTTTTATGTTTGCCGATAAGGTAGGTTTACCAGACACTTTGTATGCTGTACAGTTACTCGGTTACTTTATTTTATATTATGGAATTGTTTTAGTATAAATTTACTATTTTATATTATTTATTTGTTTGTTTGTTTACTTAAGATATAATACAATCTACTTCACATGCGACCACTAACATCATCAATATAATGGAATACAATTTTCCTGTAATTACCAAAACACATCCCAACTATTAAGCCTAAAGGATTTAAGAACTATAACTCAGCAATGCCAAAAATTTGCAGTTGGCCAGTTCTATCCTATACTTTTACTGAAGACTGCTCTGCCAGCTCTAGTCTCAACTAGCTGCCCATCCTGATGGATGCCACTGCCAGTTCAAGCTAGTCTCACATAGCCAGGGCTTTGACTCAACAGCATAAGGTCCAGTCCACATTGCAGCTTATTTTGGCCAAAAGCGGCCCACTTAGACAGGAAGATTTTCATGTAGCCTACTGTTCCGTTTAGGGCCAGGTTTATCTGAAATTTATTACACCAATAGTGGCATTTTTATAATAATTTTGGGACATAACTGCGAACAGCTGAACAGAAAATCTGTAATCAGAGTAATCATAATTACGTCAGCCAGTCAGCCAATCAGCCTGGAACTTGCCAGACTGAGGAAGTAGTGTTTTCCAGTATTGTGTGAAATATACACCAGACAATCGGTGAACAGACTGTGGGCGGTCTGTGGGTGATTAAGACTGGTTCTAACCAAAACTAGCTGAACATCCTGAAGACTGGCTGCCACAGCCAGGAAAAGCATCACCATGAACTCACTGAAAGCGGCCACAGCCAGGATGAGCGTCACCACAATGGAGATCCAGGACACCCACAGAGCTTTCTTCCTGTAACTCTGAGCTTCATGAGGCTTCAGGCGCATGCTGCTCTCCAAGAGACCTGTCAAAAAAGTAAAGAAAAAAACTGGTTAAAGACCATTATACAATTACATTAAGTACTCTATGGGGGAACAAACTACAAGAGCTGATTATTTACTCACTGACAGGCATTGAGAGGGAGAAGGTAGAGACATTAAAGAGCAGAAATGAATCTGCACTGTGGGGCAATGACTCTGTGTTTAATTAACCGAGCAACATGGTTTTAACAACATTTAGATGCCACTAATAAATTCAGTTTATCATGTAACAAGTCACAAATGATAAAAATGCTGTTTGCTAGCAGCCCTGCGAGATCTTTAGCTACTGGAAGATGAGACAGCGATGAAAGCCTGTTTCCACCTCTGAGTAAAATATTAAAAGGTACTTATGACTTCATATCGGGGAATGTACACTACGTTTAACAGTCTTTTGCTTATTTGATCAAAACTACAGTAAAAATAGTAATATTTGTATGATTGTATGACTAATATGATGATTTGCTGCTCAAGAAACATTTCTTCTTTTAATGTTGAAAACAGTTGTGCTGCTTACATTTTTTGCGAATAGGAAGTTTATCTTTTGTAAAATCTTTTTTAATATATTGTAATAACCTCCAGTTTCACAGCCAAGGCTTAGTCCCAGACTTAAAGTGAAGTTTGCGCTGTTTTAACTGGGAGCAACTTTTTTTTTATCTCAAGTTGCACACCAGTAATGTTTTTTTTTCTTTCTAAGGCATGTTTTTAAAAGCTATAAATGGCCTAATCCTGACTTAATCTAAGCCATATCTGTGAAACCGGGCCTTAATGTCTTGACTCTCTTTAAAAAAAAAAGACAACCAAAACTTTGGTTGTTTTAAAAAACAACCAAAACTTCTGAACAGTAATATAACTTTATATCTCTCAATATGACTGTGTGAGATAAAGTCCAAATTAAGAGAAAGAAATTGACATTATTTCTTCATTTTAAACTTGGTCTCACAATAACCTTTTTTATTTTTTGGCTCCAATGCAGAAACAGACTTCCACAAACAACAGCATACCTTACAAGCTGATAGTTAAATGTTTAGCTGAGGTACTCCACAGTATGTGTGAGACAATACATCTGTGTCCCTCAACAGAGTCTTTATCAGGTCATTATTAGAGATATATACAACACCACAGGTCAGAAATTTAATCCGTGACTGTAATTATGAATAAGACTAAGTAAACAGAAGCGGCAGAACCTGTTGACTGTCTATTGTTAAGCGTCCAATCAATGTTTATAATGTGCTGTGTTTGCCAAAGAGGTAAAACTCAAATATGCCTTTGTCATCTGTTCAAAATGAATGGCAGCTATGTCATCGTGACAGTGGGAGGCTGTGTGTATATCTTCCTCCATGTACACCAAACTGATCTGTCAGGCCTGTGGAAGTCACATGCTGAGGGTTATGAGCACAGAGTCAATAGGTGGTCAGTCAGTGTGATTGTAAAAGCTGAAAAACAGAGCTGGGGAATGTGGCCACTCACATGATTTATTTCATCAGTAGGATCGGGAGCATGTGTTGCACTCACACAAATGTAACCCATAAGTTCCAAACTATTTCATTTCCAAACCAAAACACACTCCAGTCAAGTTTGTCCAGATCACAAACCTTTACACACAGTACATTTGTTCAGTTTGTACTTTCCCATGCAAACTCTAGACTAGGCACATAAAATGAGCTGAAACTCAATGTAAAGGGCTTGCCCCCACTCCATCCGTCTGCTAATCATGTGGAAGCAGGACATCCACATGACCCATCAATTCTTCCATGCTTAATAGGGTTTGCATGAAAGAGAGAGAAACATTCCTCTTAATGGCTTAAAGGACATCGGCTAAAAGATTTGCTTTTTATTAAACTTTTAGGAAAATATGTACCGGTAAGTGGAATTAAGCCATTTCAAAATCAATGATGTAACTTAGAAAAACAGGATATGCTTCCCTTAACAACATGCATCATTTCTGACAACTGGGCTGCATGTTCAAATTCAATTAATAAATATGAAGAAACTGTTTTTAATCCATATTATTTTAGTTTAAACAACTGTGACCCCATTTTATGTAACTGCAGTTAAAGTAGAAATGTTTTTAATATGTTCTTCAAAAGTATAAGACAGTAGTGCCAACCATTCTCACTGCCAACTGGCATGGTGGCTTAAAGTCTATACTTGCTTTATGTGTGTGAAGAATTTACTGAAGGCAGCCAAAGCGAGCTCTATCCTAAAGCTGTCCATCCTGATGGCTGCCACTGCCAGTTCAAGTAACTGCAAGTCATGAGCAAACAGATATTTGACTAAATGACAAAGCTTGGTCTGCATTCCAGCTTAGACAGGAAGAGAGTGTTCGAGTGGCATGTAAAGTGAACAACCACAGGTTGTTGTATTGTGAAATAGATCACCACAATACTAGACCAGCATGGATTCCCTATACATCCAGTCCATCCATGAATTCCATCCCCATCAGTCTTTTTCTAAGACTTCTTCTAATGCCCTCACAATTTCACCAGTGGAGAATTGAAGGGTCTTATGCATAATTCAGTGGCTCAAACTGATTGCACAGGGGGGTGCTACAGCATACAGCAACACTCAGATCCTGCAGGTGCAGAGTAATGCTGCTTCTAAGAGTGGAAGTGCTGATATGAGATAAGATGCACCTCTGTCTGAACATCTCCACTTGAGGTGTGAGTCAGCCGTAGATTCGGTTTGAGCAGAAGTAGAAACAAAGTTTCCAGTCATTAGCCTATAGCAGGACCATAACCAACATAGATGGCCAGATCATAAACTATAACATTTGTTCCTCCCAAATCATGAAAAAGTGGTTTGAGTCTGTAGCAATAATATGCAGGTTAACAAAAGCACTTCATAAGTCCACTGCTAAAGTCAACTAATTCTAGTCTAGAATTCTAGAAACTGCTAAAGAAAACTAGAATGGAAATGTAATACAAAAAAATACAGATACAATTCATTCATTCATTTGAATCGCCTTGAATTTTATGTTTTGACACAAACAACCATTCAAATAATATAACCACTTTACTGTCAAAACGCACAAAAATGAAGTTATAAAACAGGTGTGAGGCCGTCAAATAAACTTCACATAAAGTGCTAAATGACACATTCTGTTGTAAATGTCAAATTTCGAATTGTAATAAAATAAAATCGCATTGCTGCTCCATTGAAATAGACAGAACATGTCCATCTATTCATTTAAAAGCTAGTTTAAATATGTTGCTAAACTATAGCCTATCCTACTCTTAAACGTGCAAACCCAGAAAGGATTTTTAATCTCGGGTCCGTTTTTTAATTTATAGCCTACAGTGTTTTTTTTTTTTTGTTTTTTTTTGTGCTCACCTGAATTATTAATAGCTTCAATAGCGCCTGCGTGCTCCTTTTGACCGCAACCTTTGCGAGCCTCCTTAGTCTTATTCACATCACATCCCAAATAAATTCTACTTTAAAGAATACCATTGTCTTTTAAATACATTTCTGAAACAACTCTACAAAAGTACAGCTTGATCTGTTAGAGAGAGGATGTCTGTTTACCTTGTCCCTCAACGCTATCTGTGATTTTCATCTCCTGGTCCCGGTCCATATTGAAAGGATCGCCCTGGCTCCCTCTTTTGGGTAGGTTCGGATCCTGGGCAGCGGCGCATTGTCCGTTTCGCACAGCCGACGGGTCCACAATAGTCGGATTAGGAACAGAGCATAGATCAGAAGTCGTACTGTCTGTCATGTTTGTTAGCTTTTTTTAAATCAGATGAAGCCCTCAATAAATGATCTCACGTCGAACTGCGACGCGCAGCCATCCAGTGGCAGCATTAAGGGTAACGGAGCAGAGATGCGGAGATAAACGCAATCTGCCCAGCATCAGCAACGGACCCCCACCCCACCCTCCCACCGAGAACAACTCCAATCCGAGCGCAAGAACTGCAGCCACCCAACTGTAATTTGGCATGGGGATAGTTTGGTTAAGATGCTGCCTCGCTCTCTAGATTCAACATTGACTTTTCTTATTTGCACGTCATCTGATCGTAGCAGTTCAGTTGTAGTTCCTCCTTCGATTGACACAGATTTGAGAAACGTTTTTATAGTTTTATAGGCTATGTCAAAGTCAGTAGCTGCCATAGTCATCCTTAATCCATAATAGCCTAATTAAAAACTTCATATAATCTTATCTTTTTTAAGTTTTGTTATTCTATTCATTCAAGTTTGGAACATGTTTGTTTGTAGGCAGGCTATAGTAGGCTAGTTGTGTTTGTAGGCTAAGAAATCACACAAGCACTTGTTTTAAATGTGATTCAATCTGATATTTCTGCAATTGCTTAATGTCTACATATAAGTGACAATTTAATTTGAATGATAAAAAATAAAAAAAGAATATTCTGTCATAATTTACTCACCCCCCGATGTTGTTCCAAACAATGAGTTGCTTTCTTCTGTTGAACACAAAAGAAAATAACCAGACAGTTGGCGGAACCCATTGACTTCCTATAGCCTATTCTTTTCCTGCTATGGAAGTCAGTGGTTGCCTGGCTTCAACTGCCTGGTTACCAACGAACATTATTCAAAATATCTTCTTTTGTGTTCAACAGAATAAATACAGGTTTGGAACCAGTGGCGTAGCAAGTCAGTCCCGGGCCCATATGCAAAAATAAATTGTACGGGCCCCCCTAACCCTGCCCCCGAAGTACGGCGTATGTATGACACGCCAATTCGTATTTCCATTTTTGGCGTGCTATCAACACGCATAATCGCTTTTCAGCGTGTTTATCAACGCCTTGACTTAACGTTACATTACTGTATATATAAATATATGACCTACCCCAACCCCGTCCCTAAACCTACCCGTCACTGAGGTTAATACTATTTATGAGTCTTCCCCTACCATCCTAGGGAAAAAATATTGCTCCACAGATGTAAATATACATTTTGCTTCGTTTCGCTCGGACATTTAACGGCGTGTACATACATGCGGAATCACTCGGACGTTTAACGGCGTAGACATACACGCAAAAGATGACGGTTAACGTTAGTTTCGGCGTGGGCATACACACGGATAGCTCAAAATGCGTATAGATAACACGCCACTTGACTTGAAAGTGGCGTGTATGTTTACGCAAAGTCATGATGTCATGTTAGACGTTCACTGTAGTGTAATAAGAAAATACCATACCAAACAATACCATAAAAAACACTCTACCCAACAACTTTTCACAACCAGACCGGAACGAAAACAAGTCTAAAACCAACCAAGGCTCAGCCAATGTCAATAATAAACTACTGATCTTGGCACCGCGGCCCGAAATGTAAAAAACATAAAACTACTTACTCATTTAGTTGCATTCTCCGGGCCTTTCTTTCGGCAAATTCATCCACGAGCACGATGTCATAGTGTTTAATTCATGGCTTTGTGCATTCTCGATGGAAATAATTGCCAGTGCCGATAGTCTGTTTAGCTTCAGTTTTGAAAATGAGGGCTCCTCTGAAGCAACAGTAGGGATGGTAAGAAAGAGAACTAAACCGGTCTATTTTAAGTAGTTTTTGTGTCGCAACTAACTTCTCCACCTTCTTTTTTCTCTTTAAGGCCCCACTTTTATGTTTGTATTTTTCCGTCCTTTAATGTTCAATTAGCTAGCGTCTAGTCCTCTCTCACACTGTGTTTTCTTTTTTTAATTTGACGCGGCGATGCCGTAAAAAATGACGGTACAGTTCTACTGCAGCCGCGGGGTGCAAAAAATAATAAACGCATAATAAATGCACACAAGAAATGACGGAGAAATTAGACATTATGGAGAAACTAGAAATTATTACACATGACATGCATACAAAAAATATATTTATTGTGGCTACACTTTAAAAATGAATTAACTCGTTTTAATTAAAAGTTCCCCATGGGCGGGCCCCCTATCGGCCAGGGCCCATTTGCACGTGCATACCCTGCATGCCCAGACGCTACGCCACTGTTTGGAACAAGGAAGGGTGAGCGTTGAGCGACAGTACCTAGGCTACTTTAACTTTCCCTCCCTGCCCACTTTTTTTTTACAGACTTGGCCCAAACCCCTCAGGATGTCCTCGTTGCAGTTTGTAGAGCGAACACCTACTGGATTAAATGGATGCGGGATTTTCTTCTTCCCTAAAACAGGTAAATGTGCTGTTTTTTCAACAGCAAGAATACGAGATAAATGCCAGTACCTTCTGACGTACTACCTTCAGTAACCGCTAGAGGACACTGTTGTGCAGGATGTAAAGTTACTAGATAAAATGTCGAAACAGACATGGAATGGTTATTCCAGACAGCAGCCTCTCCTTATAAATATTTAAACCTTATTTTTTATGTGTGTTAATTTGTTTTAACCTTTTTTATTTTATTTAAAGTTTTGCCATATATTGCATAAGTTACAAACATGAATTTGTTCAGACAATACATAACATGTATACAGGTACAGTGTGTATTCACAAGTTATAAAAAGCTAATGGTGCTGGTTGGTGTCTCTCTTCCAGGGGTTTTCATTGGGCCATTTCAAAAGACTGGACTCAGGGGTGGGAATGTTTGTTTTCTGCTTCACACACTGCTGAACATTCACAACTGCACGAGGAGTGAACATTCAGTTTGCAAGGCTGTCAAAACTTGTGACTTAAGAATTGAGCTCTTAATGTCAGCAGAATGAAGATCGATATTCATAATCATATTTTACCAAAGGAATGGCCCGATCTGAAACAGGTAGGTTGCATAAGGTGTTGAAGTTATCTTTAGTTATGGGTCATCATGTGTTAACCAGGATTAAGTGGCTTATTACATATTTGTCATTTTTTCAGTTATTTCACTTGCCAGTAACTTCTTTAGACAAGCCTCTATAATTGCCCCTGCTGGATTTTGATATGTTTACGTCAGCTGTACATTAAAGTTATTTAATATACCGGTAGGCCTATAGAAAGTGTGTCTGCCCAAATATAAAGGAAATCTGCTTTTCCAATTTTTAGATTATATGTTAATGTTAAAAATGTTTTTTCAATACTAAAAGTGACACGACAAGACTCATAATCTCATAATCTGTATGCATCTGTTAAACATTAATGAAAGGGTATGATCACTAACCCTGACCTTTATTGCTTGTTTGTCTGACTGAGCTGAAGAATTCTATTAATCATTGCTCATGTCTTAACAAGCAAATTAAAGCCAAGTTGATTTATTTATTCAATCATTTATTGCCATAGCAAAAGTGTAATATTTTTATAGCATAAAATTACATTATAAAATTAACTTAAATATTGACATTTCATGTTTCACAGAGGTATGGATATGATGGATTCATTCAACTCCACCATCACTGCAAAGTAAGTTTAAAATCTGCACTGGAACGTCCACTCTTTTATAAATGATCATTGCTCACAGAGAAAATCAGCTCAATTTGCAGTTTAGTCTGATGATAGTGGAAGAACACCAGCTGGATGGAAAAGGTTCTGCATGCTTGGCCATAGATCCAGCTGGCATGAGCTCTTCCTGAGAGAAAGTGTGAGTGTGTGAGTATGATACGACCCCCATGAGGAATGAGTGGGCAGCAGAGACGGATCTGATCCTCCACTCAGAGCAGGAGGATGTTAAAACTTCTGCCAGCCTCTTTATGTACCTGCAGGCCTTTAGAGTAATTGGATTGTTCTGTACTGCATTTCTGCTGGTGTCTCTGGTTGTTTCTGGTCGACTCAGACTTATTCTGTTCTTCGTTGCAATAGGAAGAACTATTTTAAAACTGAATAAACAGACATAATGGGGGGGAAATGCTCATTAAGCGGTCCAGTTTTTGCTTGAATTCCTAATCAGGCAATACTGCTTTTCTTTTAAAACCTTTTCTTTAAAAAATACTTATTTTTGAGATTATCAGTCAGGGGTGTTTGTGTGGAAAAAGAGGACAGCAGGCCTTCCCTGGGCTCCCTGTAAGAGCAGCTGTAGAGCTCCACATGGGGTTTAGCTTCAGTAAAGTAGCAGAATAAAACCGGATCATCTTGAGCACAACAATGCGGCTGCTGCACATAAACACACACATAGATCTTACCATTTCAACTGTGCCTTATAAACTAATAAACAAACAACAATATAGAGTATTATAAAAATAATACAACTTTTTAAATAAACTGTATTTGGTTGAATGAATGACACTTCATATTCAAAGAAAATCCATATTCTTTGATCTGCAAATAAACATTAATTCCTGATGTAAAAAGTGCTTGTCATGCCAGAAACTTTGCACCTCCTCTCATTCCAAAGTCCTTTGCATTGTATTACTGTGTGAATTTGACTTTGCTCTCCACTGCCACCAAGTGGCTGAAAAAACTAACTGTCATGCAGCAATGTGTCAGAAATTCACTGAAATGTCAAATGGAAAATTTATTCTTAAAAGAAAGACCATGGGGTTTTGTGTACCAGGGAGAAGCTAAAATGATGAAGGATGGAAAATTGTTCAGAGTGATTCAGGAGAACTGCTGGGATGCAGATGCTCGGATTCTGGATATGGACAAACATGGTAAAGAGTGAAGCAGTGTTAAAATTCGGTTCTATCTATCTATCTGTCTATTTATCTATCTATCTATCTATCTATCTATCTATCTATCTATCTATCTATCTATCTATCTATCTATCTATCTATCTATCTATCTATCTATCTATCATCTATCTATCTATCTATCTATCTATCTATCTATCTATCTATCTATCTATCTATCTATCTATCTATCTATCTATCTGTCTGTGTGTGTGTGTGTGTGTGTGTGTGTGTGTGTGTGTGTGTGTGTGTGTGTGTGTGTGTGTGTGTGTGTGTGTGTGTGTGTGTGTGTGTGTGTGTGTGTGTGTGTGTGTGTGTGTGTGTGTGTGTGTGTGTGTGTGTGTGTGTGTGTGTGTGTGT